AGTTATGCCAACCTGTATAACACACAGATAGGGAGAGTCTCCAAAAGAAAGTGGTGTTTATTCAGGAATGGGCATTGCAATGGGAATACATGTGCTATCATAAGCTATGTGCGTATTCAGAAAAGTAAAGGAAGACAAAGATTTTTAAAGGAAAAACAAGGAGAATTACATTATTGTTTTGAGATAATTATCCTTGGCTATGAGGATCAATAACAAAGGTGTCACAGTCTAAAGTTGGACAGGCAGTTACTGGGCAGATAATACTCACAGAAGTAGTTTTTGGTATAGGATTGTGACAACCTTTGTGCAAGGTTGTGGTTTTTGCAGATTCTTTTGTGATGGTTTTTATCAGGCATTTGTGCATGAGGACCCTCCCTTTCACACCATCCCTGGCTCCATTTTTCAGGATTCTTTTTTTACACAGGTGACTCCATTTTGATTCTGACTACTTTCACAACGTGTTGTAAAATTCCCTTTGCTAGTATTTTTTTTCAGGATTTCTTTTTTCTTTCATCAATGTTCATAAGCAACATTGGTTTATATATATTTTTTTCTTGTAATATTTTGTCTGGCTTTGGTTTCAGAGTAATTCTGGCCTCATAGAATGAGTTAGAAAGTGTTCCCTCCTCTTCAACTTTTTGCAAGAATTAGTGTAGGATTGGTTTGAATTCTTCCTTAAACATTTGTTAGAATTCGGCAGTGAAACCATCAGCCCTGAGCTTTTCTTTGTTGGGAGGTTTTTGATTACGGATCCAATCTCCTTACTAGTCATACATCTGTTCAGATTGTCTGTTTCTTGTGATTCAGTCTTAGTAGGTTATGTGTTTCTAGGAACTTATGTATTTTGTCTAGATTATCCAATTTTCAGTGAACAGTTGTTCATAGTATTCTCTTATGTTCCTTTTTATTCCTATGAAAAGCTCTGGTCATGTCCACTTTTTCATTTCTGAGTTGAGTTATTTTAGTCTTCACATTTCTCTTAGTCAATCTAACAAAAGACTTGTCAATGTTGTTCTTTTCAAAGAACCAATTCTTCGTTTTGTTGATTTTCTCTATTATTTTTCTACTGTTGATGTTCTCTATTATTTTTGTATTCTTCGTTTTGTAGATCTTTGCTCTAATCTTTAGTTTCCTTCACTCTGCTAGCTTTAGGTTTAGTTTGTTCTCTTTTCTTTCTAGTTCCTAAAGGTATAGTTGGGTGTTGGTTTGAGCTCATTGTTTTTTAATGTAAATATTTTCAGCTACAAACTTCCCTCTTAGCACTACGTTTTTGCACATGAAATTTTGGTGTGTTGTGTTTTCATTTGTCTCAAGAGTTTCTAATTTTCCTTGTACTATCTTTAACGATTGATTAAGAGTATGTTGTTTAATTTCCATACATTTGTGGATTTTCCAGTTTTACTTCTGTTATTGATTCCTACTTTCATTTTAATCAGGAAAAAATACTTTGTATGGTTTAAATATTGTAAAATATACAAAGATCTGTTTTGTGGCCTAATATATGGTATATCCTGCAGAACGTTCCATGTACACTTCAGAAAAATGTGTTTTCCACTGTTTTGGGGTAGAGTATTCTGTATGTTAGTCTATAGCGTTGTTCAAGTTTTCTGTTTTCTTATGATCTTCTGTCTGCTTGTTCTATTGGTAATTGAAAGTGGGGTATTATATTCTCCTACTATTATTGTGTTACTGTCTATTTCTTCCTTCTATTGGGTCAGTGTTTGCTTCATATATTTCAGAGTGCTGATGATGGGTGAATGTATATGTATAATTGTTTTATTTTCTGACTGAATTGAATGGCATTTTTGGCATACAGTTTGCATTTTATAAAGGTAAATATATCAGTCCTTGTTTTATGATTTTTGTGTTTTCTGTCTTCTTTAGAAAAGTTTTACCCACTTAAAAAAATTAAGAAATAAATTACATCATGCTTTCTTCCAGAACATTGATATTTTTTCTATTTTAATATTTGATATACCCAGAGGTCTCAACACCATTATTTACCTTGGACTTTACCCTTTAACGCCTGAGCTCATTGCAGTCCCTCACAAGAATACAGATCCCATAGCTTTCTCCCTATTGTGTGGCCTCCCCAATTTACCCTTTTCTTACCGATGTCCTCTTTATTTCTCTCTCCTAAAAAACTCTAAACACTCAATTAAGTGTTCTGACCCACCTCCTGAGAGGTCTCTCTTTTGTCATGGCTGGCTCGCTCTAGCTGCTACATTTCCTCCTAGGAAATAACTACCTTTTATATCAGATGAGCTTTGGAGTTAGAGATACAGGTCAGGGAAATGGTGAGGACTCCAGCAGGTAAAGGATGGGGTCATGAACCCAGATAAGAGAGAGAAATAAGGTGATAGGAAAGATCGCCAGGTCATGAGAAGAGTTAATGGATACGTATCTCCTTTCAGGCCAGGCGTTCTAAACAAGAGATCAAAGGTGGAGTCCCCCTGGGACAGAAGGGTGGGGCCCGGAGAGCAGTGAGGAGAAGGCACAGTGTCTTCTGGAATCTGGGTAACAAGCTCTGAAGGGCCAGAGCTAAAAGGACAGTCCTTTCTCCTCTGAGACCCTTAGGGTGGGAGGCATGGGGTCCGCCAAGGTCTTGGACGCTGAGGTTTCTCAGGCTGGAGTTTCAATGGAGTTGCTTAAGAAAGAAGGATCCTGAAGCAGAGGGGCCTGTTGGAAAGCAAGGGGGCATCCCCAAGGCTGAGTCCTTCCTGCCTCTGCAGGTGGAGACACAGGTGAAGATCAGGAGACCACAGGGGAGTCCCAGCCTGGCGAGGGCAGGAGGGAACTGTAAAGGTTGTCAGGCCAGCAGAGGACTTAGTGAATTCACCTCTCCCTTTCAGGCCAGGAGTTGTAACCAAGAGATTAAGGGCAGAGGCACTTACCCTCTGCAGGGACCCACCCTGTGCTGGGCACTTTGTGAGAGATGCAATTCCATTCCCCAACTCACTCTGTCCCGCAGGATCACTGAGATTCAGATGCCTGGGTTCAAAGCCTGGCTCTGGCCAATTGGAGCTAAAACTCTGTGTGCCTCAGTTTCCTGCTGTGTCAAGTGCAGATATATCCAGGCAGGGAGGCTCCCGGCGCTCTCCCCCAGCGTCAGCTCCAGAGGAGGCTGAGGGAGAACTCCTCACCTGGCAGAGCCTGTGTGTTCCGTAGAGAGGCTCGCTGCGCTGACTTGCACACAGGCCACACTCCACGTGATCTCAGGGCTTCTCATGCTCACTAGCCTATGGAGTGGGGGTGTGCGGACGCTCAGTGCCTGTGTCCAGGAACCCCTGTCCCAGAAATCAGCCTGGGGCACCTCCAGCTCCTGCCAAGATGTTTGTCTCCAGTGAGCCTGACCTCACCCAAGGGCCTCGAAGTTCTTCCCTGGGTGAGCTCAGTTTAGCAGAACCAGCCTGTGCGAGGCCGTGTGGGAGTGTGGGTGGAAGGGAGCCCCATGGCCTTCCAAGATCCAGGTTCCTTTCTCCTTGACGTGCCCTCAGAGGGGTGACAAGAGGAACCAAGGAATCTATACACGCTAGGGGCCTGGAACCGTGCCTGACCCTTGGTGGATGCCCAGTAATCGCCAGCTGCCTGAAGTCACCAGGCTTGTGTCTACCAAGACCCTGGCCCAGGAATCTCTCATCAGGAGCTGGAATTTATGTTGCTTGGGCTTACTAGTCCATTTGTGTGGGTACTTAGGGTGATGACACCAGCTGCCAAGTGCCACCCAATGGCTCCTGGGTGTGACTGGGAAGGACTTGTTCTCTCCACTCCAGTGAGGGGTCCTTGTTTGAGGATAAAGGGAGTTAAGATTCTGTCATTCTCACTACATCTGCATCTGTTTCATATAACACACACAGTCATAGACACACACTAACTCAGAGCACACAATCACAGAAACACCCACACACACAAACACAGACACATCCACAGCCACAGACACATCCTCAGTCTAGATAGAAACACCTGGACACACAGACACATATAGACTTGCACACACATTCACACAGAGAAACATCACACACACAGCCTTGCCCAGAACTATATGCAAACACATAGAAACACCTAGGGACACTAACACACGCAGACTCAGACACGCAGACACACACACTCTCAGCCTCACATTGACGCAGAGACACACAAAGAAACACACACACACAGACATATTCACAGCCATATGCAGACACAGAGACAGAATTCCTAGATACATGGAGACACAGACATGCACACACATACAAACACAGAGACACACACATACACACAGACACACACACACAGGCACATGGTGTAGCCCCTCTCACTCTGGGACACACAGATGCCACCAAAGGCTGCACATCTGACTTTCCTGACCTCCGGGTCAGGGACTGGCAGAGGGGGAAGTTGTGGCAGTGGCCCCAGCTGCCTCTCACAGTCTGCTTTGCACTCACAGGGTGGAGACATTCTCTCCTCATGCTGCCAGTGAGAACAGGAGGCTCAGGAAAGTGGCTTTTCTGGGTTGCACAGTGCCACAGCGTTCTCCTAGCACTCAGGCCGGGGCCCAGCTCTCCCTGGCTGACCCACACTTGGTGGCCACTTCTGGTAGCCCCTTCTTCTTCCATAAGCTCCTGGGTCCAGGCCCATAATCTGAGGATCAGCTCCCTCCATCCTCGCCTGGCACGTGCCTGCCCAGCCATGTGCTCCATGAACACAGTTCAGGGGGCCTGGAGAGGGCACTGACCTGGAGCCCACACATGGCCTCAGTGCACCAAGGGAGACTCAGAGACGACAGGGAGGGAGCTGTAGTCACACGCAGGCAGGGGTCAGCTCAGCTTTCTTTAATGTCATCCAGGGAGGGGGCCAGGGATGGACGGGAGGGGCTGAGGAGGGAAAGGCAGTTATTTTTGGGTGGGATTCACCACTTTTCCCATGAAGAGCGGAAAGTTGGTGTTGTCTTCCTTGATGATGACCAGGAAGGGCCGGTTGAACATGAGTGTCTGATACTTAGACCAGGCCTTCTCTTCCAGATAGGGGGCTCCGGTGGCTTCGGTCTCTTTCTCATCAACCCTCAGCTCAGCCACATGCACGGCCTGGAAGGGAGAGAAGCAGAGATGCGTGCTGGGGCCGAGCTGTGCCCCAGCCCAGGCCTGGAGCAAGGCCTGTGTGGACAGTCTCATCCTAGGAGGTGAGGCGCTCACTCGGGCCTTTCTCCACCCAGATGGTCCTGGCTCTGCAGGTCTTCCCCCTCCCTGTCACACAGGCCCTGCTCTCCCCAAGGCTTTGGCTGATGGGGCTGGATGCCCTCCATCTACCTTCCCTCTAAGCATCTCTCCCCCTGCTCAGGATGCACCCACAACTCAGAAGGTGGACGAGCATCCCTGCTGCACTTCATTTGTGTTTCTTGGCCCCTTCCTCAGACTCAGGACAGAGCTGTGACCCCTACACAATCTAATCAGAGAAAATAACTATTAGGTACTATGCTTAGTACCTGGGTGATGAAATAATGTATACAACAAACCCCCATGGTTTAACTATGTAACAAACCTGCACATGGACCCCTGAACCTAAAAGAAAAGTTAAAAAAATTAAAGCAATCAGAAGTTAACCTTGGTTTGCTCTCCTTTGAGCTCCTCTATGCCCAAAGAATGTTAGTATCAAGCTAACCATCTTGTTATGGCAGCCGGAAAGGCTCTCCTTTCCAGTACATGGCTTTAAGCTCCTTGAGGACATGGACTTTGACAGTGACTTTCAGAGTGCCCAGACCCCAAGATAATGCAGCCATTCACTAAATTACAGTTGTTCTTTGGATACCTTTAATTTTCCTAAATTAATGTCATCTTTAGCTGACATCACTCATTGATTTGAACTTGGCAATACACCCAAAATTCAAAATCTCACAGATGAAAGGGGCCAGGAAGTCTTTTGAAATGACTGAGCCTAAGCTTTTCTGCATCAATATGGATAAATTAAGGCCCAAAACGAGAAGGTCCTGGGCAAAGTGTCAGTGACACAACAGCGGGGGTCCCCAAAGGTGTAGGCTGCACGGGAGGCGCCTCCCCAGCTCCGCCGTCTGACCATGCCCGGCTCAGTGTATCTCAGGCATCCTCAGGAGCTCAGCCTGGGTCTTCATTTGTGTCTCTTGGCTCCTTCCTCAGCCTCAGTACAGAGCTGCCACCCCCACGCAATCTGCCAGCTGACACCAGGGGACAATACGGTCTTCTGGGTGACCTTACCTTGGAGAGCTTCAGGGGTGCCTCCTGACTGACTCCAGAGAGGTCAGCTTCATTGCTGAAGATCTTGGTGATGCCCAGATTCCTGAGGACTGGCTTAAGTTCGTAGTTTTCAGAAATGAACAGTCTGGGAAAATGTAGACTGATGGTCCTGGTGTGAGGAAAGACAATCAAGGCATGGTGCAGCATTGCTCCTGTTCTTCTGGAAGCCACCACAGCGCGGTGCTTTCTTTCTGATCGTTTCTCCCACTTAGCGCCATGTCCTCACCCACATCAAGATCAGAAGTCAGAGGGAGAGGATCAGAGAAAATAACTATTGGGTGCTGTGCTTAGTACCTGGGTGATGAAATAATCTATACCACAAACCCTTATGTTAGCAAACCTGCACATGGACCCCTGAACCTAAAAGAAAAGTTAAAAAAAAAAATAAAACAATCAGAAGTTAACCTTGGTTTATTCTCCTTTGAACTCCTCTATACCCAAAGAATGTTAGTATCAAACTAACCATCTTGTTACAGCAGCTGGAAATGCCACCTCCTTTGAGAAGCCCTCCAGGCAGATTCTAGGTGTCCTGGAAGCCTGTGTCATCCTGCCCTGTAGTGTTTGGTACTGGGACCCCAGCCTGGAACATCCCCAGAGCCCTACACTCAGGAGAACATGCAGATGGTGGCACCTATTCAGGGGATGAGAGGAGTGACCACCCCATGCTGAATGCTCCCCTCTGGTTTTCCATGGGGAGACAAGGCCACCCGAGCAGGATCTGGCATGAGTAGGCAGCCTGGCTCTGGGCAATCTGATCAGTTACCCTCTCAGCCTCCTGGTTTTTTAATCAAACCCTGGAGCAGGGGCCTCAAAAAGTGCTGGTGTGGGACAGAAGAGTTCCTGCCTTGGTTGCTATTATGAACCCCAACACCTTTTGTATTTTCTTTTTCTTTTCTTTCTTTCTTTCTTTCTTCTTTCTTTCTTTCTTTCTTTCTTTCTTTCTTTCTTTCTTTCTTTCTTTCTTTCTTTCTTTCTCTCTTTCT